GTGGGGAGAGTTGCTAGGAGTCCCTGAAATAGATGGAGATGGGAATGTGGCACACAGGGAGCATGTTGGGGAAAACATAGGAATGTAGTATACGTAATGAGCTTGGCCTACAGAAGCTATGAAACGTGTGACCGCCTAGTATATAACCAAGGACTATACAGTTAAGGACTTTAAAAATCAATAGGGACAATGTAAAGTCAATCTTCCACTTTACAGGCAAACAATAAAAATTGCAGGGTGGGCAAGATATAATAGTTGCTCAAATCAGCAAATAAACCTGTGTTAGCGTTCTCTACAAGCTGCAAGCAAAGGATAAAATTTTATTGTAAACCATGCTCACAGGGAACTACAATGATTGTGTCTCATGGTTACAAGACCACATGCTGTTGTGTGGTAGTCACTGGATAAATGAAGGTATAGCCTGCACATATTTCACAACTGAAAAAAAACTTCTCTGCCACATCTGACAGATGTTTACCCTGGGAAAGGTGTGGTTGAAAGTGATGCAAGTAGAAAGAATCTCACAGATCCACACTTATGTGGAAAATGTGGCAGAATAATGTTGTTGCTTATGTATGGGTAATGCACTAAGACATTCTGCAGTGTTATATAGTCAGCTGAATGAAGACCAGTCACAGCGCAAAGCTTGTAGCTACTAAATTATAAAAAAAGACGCATAAGAAAAACTGAAAAGTCTATGGATTCTAATAAAAAAAGTAAAACAAAACTCAGGTTAATGTAGTACTAATACTTGGTATCTATAAGGAATATGAAATACATGTTACAAAGGGTTAAAGTTAATACATACTTTTTGGTAACCTTTTTATAATATTTTACTAGTAAATCAAAGATATGCTGCCAATATTTTAACACAATGCTACCATAATTTTTTTCCCGTTAACCTGTGATAAATTATGTGTACTAGGGTAATGGAGGAATCTCACACGGACATGAAAACATCCCAAACCTTCCTTTTACTTGGTTGCAGAAAATGCAGTAAGGGCTTCAAAAACCTACTCAACCTTTACCGCCAGCATATCACTATACTACACCCTTGTGCATACAAATGGGTGTTTTCTGGCTTATGGAAAAAAAATTTTATGCATCTGAGCTTGATTAGCCAACCCTTCCCCATTTGGTGGTTCTCTTCTTCCATATTTTTTCAAAATGACAACTTTCTTTCCCACTAACAGCAACCAGATATGTTACCTCCTCTAAAACTGCTCTGTGGCCTGACAAAAGATGTATTCTTTAAAAGCCCCAATTCAGCACATGCTTAATTGCTTTGCTAAACTGGGGCTAGAAAGGGTATATTGCCCTTTACCTCTCAACTAGACATCAAGGATCCAATGTCTCCTAGAGATGTCGCCGGATGCCCTCATCTCCCACTGACATCAGTGAGTTGGAACTGCTCAACCTGTCTCAGAAGATGTACAAAATCTCACAAAACTAGGTCCCAAGCACATCCCTTACTGCAATCAGACAAATGGACAAAAATTACCAGGTTGCTTTTCATTTGGGATTTGTGCAGGGTAGTGTAATATTTTGTTCTGGATCAACCAGGGCAACACAGGGGATCACATTCACCTAATTCTTGTGCATAGTCCCAGTGACTTCACACTAAGGTTAACTGCATTAGTAAAATGCATTCAGTGGAAAATATAGCGGGGAGATTTTATATACACAGAGAACATGAAACAATGGGTGTTACCATACAGACTGTAACAAGAGTGATCAGGAAAGGTGAGCTATTACAAGCAGGAGAGCGGGGGGTCGGGGGTGGGGGGAACCTTTTGTAGTGATAATCAAAGTGGGCTATTTCCAGCACTTTACAAGAACAGTAGGAGGGGAAATAAACAAGGGGAAATAGTTTTACTTTGTGTAATGACCCATCCACTCCCACTCTTTATTCAAGCCTAATTTAATGGTGTCCAGTTTGCAAATTAATTCCAATTCAGCAGTCTCTCGTTGGAGTCTGTTTTTGAAGTTTTTTTGTTGAAGAATTGCAACATTTAGGTCTGTAATCGAGCAACCAAAGAGACTGAAGTGTTCTCCGACTGGTTGTTCTGAATGTTATAATTCTTGACGTCTGATTTGTGTCCATTTATTCTTTTACGTAGAGATATATGTGAATACTTAAAATGTTAAACATGTAATTGCAGCAAACATCCCTCCAATATCTTCCACTCAAACAGTGTTTAGCATTTTAAAGCTGATCAATCATCATAACAGTCGCAGAAAGAGTACTACAGAATACAGTGTTAAAAGTGGTACACAAAACAGCCACATTCACTCTTCAGACAATTTGAGGGTACATTCTTGCATGTTTTCTGTACCTAATAAACAACATGGTCTCAGGATTACAGTGCATGCAATCACCACTAAAGGAAAATATTTTCACTAATTTTTCCCATTTATTAGTTTACACAATGAAGTTGAGCAATATGTGTTTCAGCCTAGAGTGGGCATTTTTGGCTGATCCAAATGAGGCCCTACACTCAGCTTTTCTGTCTGTAACATAACTTTTCAACACCGCATCCGATCAACTCGAGAATTTCAGGTACTGTTTTAGGCATCAGTGGCCAGAACCCTATTGATTTTGGTGAAAACTGAAAAAGCCATTAGCACTTAAAAAGTTGCTCTTTGCGCTCCCTACAGAAGGGGGAGGCAGAGGGAGAGGAAAGTGAAAGTCCTCCATAATTTCTCCAGGGCTAGTCCTATGGGCAGGTAAGTGGGTCTGTCACCCTGTGCACCAACTTCCAGGGGGCACCGAATTGCTGAGCCACTTGGTTTATTGTCCTCCCCTTTGCTCTGCCATCTTTTTTTTTTTTTAAGCTCGGCTGCTGGGGATATTTTCTTCCATGGCTAGCAAAATGGCTAGGGCCTCTCCTGGCTCTCTCCTGCCTAGTGCACTGCATCCCAAAGCCTGCTCAGAGTAGGGGAGCTAGGGTGACCAGACAACAAGTGTAAAAAATCAGGACAGGAGGTGGGGGGGCAATAGGTGCCTATATAAGAAAGCCCCAAATATCGGGACTGTCCCTATAAAATTGTGACATCTGGTCACCCTAAGGGGAGCATGCGTTTGCCCATCCCTTCTAATCCAAGGACGCTTCATTCCTTCCTCACTCCTAGTGCGCTGCTTCTCCAAAGTCCGCTCCATGGTGGGGGGGGAAGGAGGGATAGAGAAAGGAGAAAGAGATGCCTTAATAATCCAGTGAGAAGGAAGGTACTTTGGAGGAGAAGTTAAAAAAAGGAGAGACACAGAGCCCCTGCAATGTGGGGAAGGGAGGAGGGACTAGGGGGCATACTCCATACAGAGCCCTTGGAATGGGGGGGAAGGAGGAACGGAAGGTTTTGCTATGAGGGGCGCACCCATGACCTTTAACCAAATCTGCAATTCGTGGCAGCCATTAACAGCACAAGCTTAATTATTTATATAGAGTTTTTCCTGATACCACCCCAAGCAAAATTTTACTCCCATCCAAATCTCCTTGCAGCATTCCTCTCCACCCCAATATCTTTTCAGAAGACCAGAAGAGGCCACTTTCAATGGGCTTCTGAGTGTTTATAGTTTCTGTGGAGTCTGTTAGCTGAAATAGACTTTGCCCATTCTGTTCTAATGGGGGAATTCATTACTGCTACAACTCTTCCAGCCTCCACTTTGACAGCTACATTCCCATTCTGGGGGCATCCAAGCTAAGATTCTGCCTTCGATGGTCCTCAAACCTGAAAATCCATTTGCACTTCAAGTGAATAACAAACAGTGCTCAATCTACATGAGCAATGAAGTGCCACTCTCTAATCTATACTAAATGCCTCTTCAATACTGATGTAGTAAATAGACTATAATATTATGAAGACTGCACTTCTGAAAATAAAAGCAATGTGAAAATCCAGTGTCTGTGTTTATTTCTACCCTCTTCAAGACTACAAAGAGATCATATACAATTCTAAGAGCTCTGTCAAAGGCTCTTTATTGGAAAATAGAGAATTAACCACTTTGAAATGATTGTCAAGAGTAGTGAAGTTGACATTAGAAATTGCACTGTACTTAAAACTCATAAGCTGTTACTTCCAAATGTCACTAGTCAGGTTAAGAACTGCCATCGCAAACCTTAGAGTGAAATATCGTACCCTGAGTCACTATGCACAAAAGAACTACTCTTAAGAACAGGCACTCCCTTCAGCAGAGAAGCGGGTGAGGGAAGAGGAACATTTCTACAGGAACATTGGAGTAATGAGCTGGTGCATATTACTGAAACAGCCACTCTCATTTCAAGGTGTGTATGAAAGAATTAAGCAGATGTCCTGCTAAAAGATTTAACATCCAGTTTGAGGACAAAATCAGAATAGACTAATTAGACTGTCCCAATATCAAGTATTGGGAATGCTAGCTGATCATTTAATTTCTATTGTTTACTGTCAAAGACGAAATACTATCAGTGTAGTACACTTACAAACGTATTACCTAAGGAAACTAAACTACCACACTGGCAGTATCATGTTTGAAGCTAGCACAGAAAACAGACTTGTTGCGATGAGCCTGGTCTAAACTATAGGGTTAGGTCAATGTAAGTTGCCTTGCATCAACCTCGTTGTGGAAGTGTCTTCACTTAAATTTGGCTCCTCCTGATGTAAGTGCCTCTCTACGCCGATTTCGTAACACCATCTCCCAAGCACCGTAGAATCACAGTTGATATAATTAGGTTGATGAAGTGTTAGTACAGACACTGCGTTGCTTACATTGACTGTTACTGGCTTTTGGGAGCCATCACACAATGCCCCACACTCACAATACAATTGATACAAGTACTTCTGGTAAGAAGGAGCACTGTCAACACAAGGAGCCAAGTGTGCACACACACAAGCAACTTTGTAATTGCGGTGGCCGTATGCCAACATAAAAGTTAGCTTGATATAACTTTGTAGCGAAGATGCGGCCTTAGTGGTGAAAAGAGTTTTTAACAGCAAAGTACCATGTAAATTGGCTATTACTGTACCTTCATGACATCTTTATAGGAGTGAATGACCTCAATTTCCTCTTTTTCCTCTTCATCTTCTTCCACGCCTTCATCCAGAGCCTCATAGCCTTCATCTTTACTTCCATCTACCTCCACGGTATTGGTCATGTGATCTATAAGCTGCTCCAAGGGAGGACTTAGTTCTCGCTCTTCATTCTCCTTCAAGCCATAGTCCAGCGCTTTATAAATAATAATCCCCAGTGATTCAATAATCTATAAGAAAGAAAGCAACATTATTATTAGCGTCATAGAATCATAGACTTTAAGATCAGAAGGGACCACTTTGATCATCTAGTCTGACCTCCTGCACAACGCAGGCCACAGAATCTCACCCACCCACCCACTCCTGTAACAAACCCCTAACCTATGTCTGAGCTACTGAAGTCCTCAAATCGTGGTTTAAAGACTTCAAGGTGCAGAGAATCCTCCAGCAAGTGACCCGTGCCCCATGCTGCAGAGGAAGGTGAAACCCCCCCAAGGCCCCTGCCAATCTGCCCTGGAGGGAAATTCCTTACCGACCCCAAATACGGAAGTCAGCTAAACCCTGAGCATGTGGGCAAGACTCACCACCCAGACACCCAGGAAAGAATTATCTATAGTAACTCAGATCCTACCCCATCGGGCATATCACAGTCCACTAGGCATATCTACCGCTAATAGTCAAAGATCAATTGCCAAAATTAGGCTATACCATCCCCTCCATAAACTTATCAAGCTTAGTTTTGAAGCCAGATATGTTTTTTGCCCCACTGCTCCCCTTGGAAGGCTGTTCCAGAACTTCACTCCTCTGATGGTTAGAAACCTTCATCTAATTTCAAGTCTAAACTTCCTGATGGCCAGTTTATATCACTTCAATGAACTAGTAGGCAAGTGTAAAAACACAAACATCCTTGAGCAACAAGTGATAAATTGTCCACCCTACAACTGCTGATTTAAGATTGATATTATAGGATCATTCAAATTAAAGAGGGCAGTGACCCTCCACACTGCATCACTGCCCTGCAAGTCAACATATAGGACCCAACAGCAAAATGTGTCATGCTACATTTTTTATATTAAAATTTGACAGGCAAAACCAAAATAATGTAAAAACAAAGCTGGACCATTTTGAATTTTTATTCCTAAAAGTGTTTCAGCTCAAAATATTTTTTTAGATTCCTATAAAAATGTTTGGTATATGTATACACACTTATCCTCCTTTCGTTTAAGAAAAAAAAGGGGAAGGACTTAAGAAAAGATGCCTAACTCCTTCCACAAGTGGTAGTGACTTGGACCACCTCATTGCCTCCAGGGATGACTGGCCATAGCTGTGAGGATCGATTTGACTCAGAACCTGACTGAACTCTGATCAAACCACTGAGATCCACTTACTTGGTGACGAGACAGAGATCCCATATGGGAAAATCTAGTTGTTCTTAGTAGTAATCGTAATTTAGTAGCCCCTTGGGACCTCAACTGAGATCAGGGCCCTATTGTTTCACAGTGCCTAACATTATAGAACAAGAGACAGTCCCTGATCTTCTCAATCTTTCCTAGTAATAAGAAATTGGCCTGAATGCTCCAAAATGCCAAGTATACCTTTTCTTTCTTTACATTAACGATTATTAATACCAGAGGCATTGCAGTACCTAGCACTCTGAAGACCTTAAGGGGAAAAAAGTCATGATCTTTTAAATCTGATGGCTACTGTGGTATTATTTAAATGGTCAGGCAGCAGTGCAGAAGTAGAACAGCCCTGGAACACAAGTTAGTAATGGAACTATTTCCAAAAGCAGATATTTTTCAAATATTTCCAACCTGATAAGAAAGTTTCAGTTCCCCAGTCTGGCATTCCACATAATTCTAGCTAAAAAAAACCCCTTAAAAAAAAAAAAAAAAGGAGAAATTCTCACATCTTAAACTTTTTTTAAGGTTTAATTTGAGCAACCTACTTATTTTACTACAGTAAAACATTTCAAAGAGGACTTACTGTAATGGATTATAATTTAGTAGGGGAATTCAAGCAGTTTAATCATAATCACATTCAGACAGAAAATGTAATGCACCAGCAATGGACCAGCAGTTTTATGCTTCATTTCTCTAGTGAGACATGGGAATGCATTAGTAGTAGAGAGTACTAATAATCAAATTGTTAGACCACTAATAATCAAATTGTTAGACCACTTCAGGTGCAGAACTTAGTGGCAATTTGTACCATGATTAGGTAAGTAATCCTTCCTGAAATGCAGAACTTTGCTATTTGTTTTTTCCAACAAACCAAAAACATTCCTCAACATAAAATGCATTAATAAACTGTTCATATTTCACAGTGCACAATTAAAACACCAGCACATTAAGGGCAAAAAAAGGCAGATTTATCCACCTTTTATAATATTTATTATATTTTCCAATATTTTAACAATTATATGGAATAATACTGATTTTCCGACATTCTTCCACAGCAGCTTTAAAAAAAGATACCTGGTACTCTCATGAACATGTCTGGTTTGGCTTAGAAAACTACAAAGCAAAGCTGTGCATCCCTATTTTGGAATAACTGTGAATGAGATATTCAAAGAAAGATCTTTGGGAAACTTTCATAATGAACATATAAGGACTGAAAATGTGAAACAACTGTTATAAAGCAAAGTACATTTTTTAAGTATGGCTCCTTCCACAAAGGTCCTCCGTATATCCTCAACACGTAGTGCAGGGGTGGCCAAACTTACTGGCCCTCTGAGCCACATTCTTCAGAAGTTCAAGAGCAGGGGCACACCTGCCAGGAGCCGGGGCTTCAGCCTGCTCCTGCTGAAGCCCCAAGCCCTGGCAGGTGTGCTTCGCAGTGCTGAAGCCCAAAAAAACCCCTCCCTGCTGGGCAGAAGCCCCGACCACACAACCCAGCTGCAAGGCAGAGGTCCTGAGCTTCTCTGCCCCACCCCCAATCTGGTAGGTGAAGAACGGGAGGGTGTGGGGGACTCCACGAGCCGCATTTTAATGGTAAAAGAGCCACAGTTTGGCCACCCCTGATGTAATGCTTTAATATCTGAAAGGCAAGAATCTAAGAAGAGTTAAACCACATTTGGAAGCACCCACCAGGCATACTTTAAAATCTATAACATTCAGCAAATTCAGTTACATCATTAGCAGAACCTCCATGAACATTTTATACTGTCTTAAGTACTTGCTGGACAGCACAGAAATGCTTTTGATAGAATAGTTTAGTCTTGTTCAACAGGTGGAATCAAGTAGTTTAACAACTGCTTAAATATTTCTTAAATATCTGATATGAGTGCACAGTATAAATTTTGTCTAGCTTCATAAAAACAAAAGTCTAAGAAATTTTATCTGTTCAATCCTTTTTTCCTGGTGTTAAATTTGATGTAAAAACAAAAAAAAAAAGTATTTTTTGTGACAAGGCTTCAGGTCCAGGACCCAATGAGCACTTTTCTTGGAAAAGACAGCAAAACAGGCTTAAAAGGGGAAGTTCTCTCTCTCTTTGATTAGGAACAGGGATTAAGGCCTTCACAAGTACTACAGCTAAAACTCAATGACAGCTGTTGCTTTCTTTGATGTACCAACACTGTGCCTGTTCCAGCCCAGTAATATGGCTTCTGCATTATGTGCTAAGCATAGACTTCATAATATGTGCAAAGATGGCCTGACACAAAAGTCTGAACAGAAACTATTCAGAACTACTTCCCTGCCTTTCAAATCCTTTATTTTGTCATACTTAGCAACATATCCATTCTGTCTCAGTATCTCCATTTCAGCTTGTTATGACACAGCAATGAACATTTTAACTGAGAAACTTTGCTGCTGCTGAAAACGTAATAGAAATATGTAACACTTTAACCAATGCTAATTTACCATGGAAGTTATAAAAACACATATAAGTGCCTGCCATAGGAATACCAAACAAAACCTTTCAGATTTTTGTACATTCACAAAATAGCCAGTAATGAGACTTAAAACAACTGGGAGAATATAATTCCCGATGCAAGCAAGCAAGATCTGAGCAAAGTGGGTCAGTACCGGTGTCCTTGACATATATGTATAGAATGAAAAGCCTACTTTTACCTACATCAATGGAAATAATCTGATTTTTGTTATATGTACGAGCTGGATTTAAGAATATGGTTTTATAGTGTTTATCTAATATCAATGTGTTCTATTTGTGTGTCTCTCTGTCTCACACACAAACACACCTGCACACACACAAAATCTCTCCACTTGCCTTCCCTAATGATCTAATATTTAAGCACAGTACGGAGTACAAGTTCAGCCTTTGGGAACAGCTTCTTTCCTGGTCTGAAGCCATGACTTTCAAAGGAACTTAATGTGAAGGTATAAAGCATTATAACGTAAGCAGCCTAATTTATTTTTTTTAAGTTACTCAGCCACTGGTTGATGTGCAGAGAGCAAATCCTCTGCTAAAGTTTTGAAGCCTCGAGAACTAAGAAGTTCTCAAACTCTAGGTACAGGACACAGAAAATTATGTGAGTTAGGCAAACATGTCATTGTTTACTGTAAAAGAAAAGGAGTACTAGTGGCACCTTAGAAACTAACCAATTTATTTGACCATAAGCTGTAGCTCACGAAAGTACTCCTTTTCTTTTTGCGAATACAGACTAACACGGCTGCTACTCTGGAACATTGTTTACTGTTGGCACTGGCAATTGTTTCAATGCAATGTAATCATTTCAGTACTATTAATTTACAGCTGCTTGGTTTAAAGTAAAACCTCCATATGCTAAGGCATTGTGAGTTTTTCAGTCTACGAGCAAAGCTCTTTAAGGCCTTATAGATATATAGTCATTATATACAGAATTGAGCTTTCATATATATACTGGTTTAGGACGCATCTAAAAGGTTTAACTGAAATGAATATGAACTTAAACAGCTACAGTTCTTTCTTTTAGGAAATACATCAGTATTTTTTTTTCAACTTGTTTACTTTTCAGACTTACCAGAACTGGTCTGCAAACAGGCAGAGTCTCCATGCCATTCCCCTATACTCATCACATGCAAAATGGAGTAATGTCTGTAAACTCACCATCTTTCTGAGGTTTGCTTTTATTTTTAAATAAAGCAATAAAGCCCAAAAGGGAGGGCTCTGCTTACAAACATAAAAGGACTTTCTCCAGCAGAGTTCCTGCCCTTCCTTGTAGTTCTCTTTCACTCAGAGAGCCGCTCAGACTTTTGTATCCCTGAGTTGGAACTAGAGCGGCTCAACT